AACTTCAGAAAGATCAGATAAACATCAGCCAGTTATCACGGGGGCCTGAGGAGCTCACTAACACAAAAGACAAGAAACTCAACAAATATCAGAGTTGAACCAAACCATCTAACAAATGGAATTAAGAGACATACACACAACGTTCTATCCAATGACAGGATACACTCCTTTTGGCCACATACAGTGCTTTCTGCAAATCAGAACACACACTAGCTAACAAAGCATGGCTAAGTAACTGCAGAACTAGGATTATCCCGTGCGTATTATCAGTTCGTAGTGCAATGAAACTAGAAATCAATGGCAAAATAGAGCAGAGAGATTATGCAAACACTTGGAGATTAAACAATGTACTCTTGAGTAATCAATGTTACAGAAGAAAACAGGTCCTGGAATCAAATGATAAAGCCAAAACAACATACCAGAACCTGTGGGACACAATGACAGCATCCCTAAGAGGAAAGTTGATAGCTAGGGATGTCCACATCAGAAAAGCATGTCATACTAATCATGAATGAAAAGTATAGGAACTTTACAGTGTAGAAATCTCAGCGTTAACAAGGGCTCAAAGTTGGCGAGCCTATAATGAGCAATAAAGTAATTTGCCTTCGGAAGTGATGAACTGAGAAACACTCACCGTTATTCCTGTAGCACTGCTTCCCAACAGGCATAACCAGAATGTAGTCATGGGGAAGCCAAACAAGACAAACAAAAAAATGACAGGCATTCTACAAATTAACTGGCCAGTACTCTTAAGATAGGGCTTAAAAAAGACTCAATGAAAATGAAACAAACATGACAACTACACCATACAATGACATTAGAGCTTACACTAGAAAAAAAACAAAAAAACTTTAGCACATTAGTGGGAGAGTTGTTAAATTTTGGATAGGATTATGCATCGGAATAACTGCTGTATGAACATTCATATCCTGTTTTTAATAATTGTGCTGCTATTATATAAAAGAATGCTGCACAAAATATACAAGAAATATATACAAAATAAATAAGACATTAAGGGGCAATATATCTTAGTTGTAATTCCCAATGATTGAGAGAAAGAAAATGATAAATCAATTTGATAAAATGTCAACATCTTGTGAACCTTTGTTAAAAGTATACGGGAATCTTTCACAACAGTTTTGCAACCTTTATGCAAGTTTGAAATCATTTCTAAATATAAAGATTTTAAAAAGATTTCAAAAGAAATGAAGTAAATGTGCAGAAAATGTCCAGAGGATTTCTCCTGGAAAAAATAGGAACACAATTGCACAGACTCCTACAGAGGATGGATTCGAGTAAAGCTAGAGGTACAAAGAGATTTCATCTACTTTCTCCCAGTATGGGTTCAGAATGGTGATTTTGTCCTCCAGCTGCATTTCCTATTGTTTGCCAGTCTGCTTTGCCAGTGTGTACAGTCAGGATGTGCCCGGCTCGCAGCATCCCCCAGGCAGTGTCCAGCTGCAGCGCCTGGGTCACCTCTGGGCCTCCCTGAGGTCTCACCAAAGCTCTGATTATTTTGTTGATTGCGTCCCCTCCTCAGCTCCAGTTTTCTTGCACCTAGCCATAGTTTTACAAGGCTTCCATCAACCCAACACATGATTTCTCACAGATTTTAACCATATTGTAGTTGTGTTCCTGATTAATCATAGTCTGGGAAAATAATCTGAAATCAGTAGCAACCACCTGCCATGTGAGAGGAACACTGAGCTGGGAGTCTCACCTCTCCTGCCAAATGGCTGCTGAGTGTAGGCGACTCATTCCTGAAATTCTTGCTCATAAAATTGGACCAAATCTCAGTACGGTGGTCTCTCTCACCTCTAAAGATGAGTGACGTTTATTGTCTCTGACGTGACACAGCCTTCGTTCTCATCAGAAGGAACCTCTCTTCCTGAGGTAAAGAGTGAGGGCCTCGCACCTGACCTTGGAGGCCACCTGGGCTGGAGCACTTAGCATGGACACTGCTTTGCCCACGAGAGGGAGGCAGCATTCCCACCCAAGGCCGGTTTTCTAACTGGCCCGGCAGCTCGGCTATGTTTAGCTTAAACTATTTCTGGGTGTGTAACAGTTAATCGCCTCTTCCATGAAAAACCAAAGGAGAAAAAAGTCTGCAAAAAGAAGAAAGAACCCTGTAGTCACCGGGAGTGCCCCCGACTCCTGAATCCCTGCCCAGGCCCACCCTGTTCCAGTGACACGCTGGTCACCAGGTCGCTGCTGCAGTGTGCGGGACGCTTCTGTTCTCTTCAGTCCCGCTCAGTGTCATGGCTCCGACTCAGCAAGGAGGTGGGGGAGCTGCGCCTGGTTTTGCCGGAAAGCGGGCTTTGGGCCAGCAGAGTTGGACCACCCTCCAGGCTGGTCCCTTTGGGGCTGGTCATCCTCAAAGCTGAAGCCCTGGCTCCTCTTCCCTAACCCATCAGTTCTGCTCTTTGTAACTAAGGCAGGAGTCTCCATGTATTTTTTCAGATTTTGCTTTGATCTGATTGTTCCTTTTCTTGAGGAAGAAAAAAAAAACTCAAATGAAAGAAAAAGTTATGTTCAATTTCCCTTGTGTGGCCAGAAAAGGGAAAACAATGAGAACTTTGTGTCCTGATGAAAGAATGTAAGGAATCCGGCGGTGGGCACAGGCTGGGAGCTGAGAGTGCTTTTTATAACAGAAAACACAAGAGCAACGAGAATGGCCCCCATCACTCACTGCGAGCAGAATAGACTCTGAGACCCGAGAGGCCCCTAAGTCCTGGGGTTTCCGAAGAGGCAAAAAGTGAAAATATTTTTATTCTTCCAGCATGTCAATTCTGTAAAATACGAAAAGTGTCAAACATATAAAAAGTCAAAAAAAAACCCAAAACCAAGTATAATAATAGCCCACAACATTTTGTCGTATTTGCTTTTTTATGTATCGCAAGCATCCCATTATTTATGTGTGAGTGCACACACGTGTCTGTGTGACTGAAGTGCTCTGAAAGAAATTACAGCCATAAGGACACTTCTTTTCCAAACACTTGCCTTTGTTTTTTTTTTAAAAAAAATAGGCATTTTGTGACTTAACAGTAGTAAAGTGATTACTCCTACAATTTGCGTTTCCTCACCGGAGGTAACACCTTGTGTGTAGCCAACTGTCCTTGTGGTAATAAACGTGTTTTTATAGTTGGGTTCTGCAAAATAGACCCGACCTGTGCCAACTGTCTGAACGACTGTGGCATTTTGCATTTATCTAATTGTTTCTCTGTCACATTTAATCTGTATCTCACGCCACTGTTTCTCTCCACTGGAGGTTAGATCATGGATTGAACTTGTCTTCATTGGATTTGGTTGAAGATGTTTGGGGAGAATCTTCACAGGTGGTGTTGTATGGCTCAGATGGCAACATACCAGGAGGTACGTGATTCTGATTATACTTTTGGGGGCACTAAGTTTGATCACAGTCACTTCTGCTATTGTGCCATGTAGACATTCCTTAAAATTTCTGTGCAAAGCAGAACTGCACAGTGTAAACCACATGGCTTGCGGGGGAGATGGGGTTAGGAAAACCCAAAAACTTTGCCAATGAAATGTTTTTTTAAAAGATAGGCACCGATTGGAAACAGTAGCATAATGTATGTAAAATGCCTAAGAAATGCACACAGTGGTACAATGCAGCCTTGAAAGTACCTGGCATTGCCCGTGGAGGTGGCAGCTGTGGCCACTGGGAGAGAGGAAGGAAGTCATCCAAAATGGACCGGGTACGGCTGCGTGGGACCACTAGAGCGGCGGGAGCTTAGTGTCCGCCGTGTTACACACGTGCACTGTGCGTGCTCTGCAGGTTTTGGAATTCCTGGAGTGTGTTGTACACAGAAGCATATAAAGGTATACATTAAAATGCATTAGGCTATACCTCAATTGTGCTGGGAAGAATTTGCTTTTAAAAACTATAATTTACTCCTTTTGTCCTTTTCCTCGATCGATCTATCTTGAAGTTTATCAATTTTTTTGGTCTTATCAAACAATGAGCCATTGTTTTCATTGAATGTCTCTGTTCCTTTGTTTTTATTCTTAGCATTTTTTTCTGGTTACTTTATGCCTAATTTGCTCATCTTTTGCTAGCTTTCTAAGATGGAATGATCTGTCAGTTACAAATCACTTTTTTTTAGTTTTTAAAGTTATATATTTCTCTCTACTGCTTTAGATACATGTCACAAATCCTGATAGTTTATGTATAAACCAGCATTGAGTTAAAAATATTTTCTAAGATTTCTTCACCTGCATAGGTGGAATAAATATACTTTCCCCTATTTTTCCTCCTACATATAGCTAAAACTCCTGTACATTATATATAAAAGAAACACGAGAAAATTCTGCAAGGTTGAGAGCTCGTGGCTGCTTTTTCTTTCTAGAAATCCTTGTGCCTGGGCTTCCCTTTGCCCCTGCAGGAACAGGCTCCAGACAGCTGGCATCCCAGCGGGCCGGTGAGAAGGGGCCAGGCAGACTCCCCCTCTGATGTAGAGCTGCACTGAGGCCCGTGCCCTCCCTCCGGGTGAGAGGCTCTGAGCTCACAGAGCTGGTCCTGAAGGCGCTTCCCACCCGCTTCCTCTTTTCCTGTCAGCTCCAGGGGACCACGGTTGGGAAGAAATGGGGCCAGGAGTTTCTGGGACCTGTGTACGTCTGTCAAACTCTCTCCATAAGATACAAAGCCCATGGACCTTAGTAGGAGCTTTGATGCTGGAAGCTTCCATACCCCATGGGAACACTAATTGGTATATTTACATCTTTAAGTCTAATTACTCTGAAAGCAACTTAGCACAGTAGGACAGCTGCAAAGTTCTGAAAACCAGCAATGTATCAAACTATTCCAACTACTGCAACATGGTAAAATGTTCTCACCATTTTGGAATCAGAAGCATTTGTTAAGTATTTTATGATGAATCTAGAAATAAAGGGTACGTCCTGGAAGAAAATAAAAGACCAAAAAAAAGGTTTCTTTTTTCTTTTCTTTTTTTTTTTTTTTTCTTTTTATTTTTTTTGCTTGTTCATTGCCAACAAAGGTCCCACCCGGGGGTCCTCCATGGCCCACGAATTAGAGTAAGTCATTTCCCAGTTCGCAGGAGGCACAGTGACGCTCGACAGGGAAAGACATCTCCCTCGGCCTCACTGAGTTTTCGGCCACATGAAGGCTGGTGCTGAGTGCAAATGTCTCCACCAGCGCTCTGTTCTGGGGTCCTTTCTGTGGTTTTCCTGTATTTCTGGTTTGTCTCTTTGCGACTTCATTTGCTCTCACGAGTGTGGGTGAGGATGACGAGGAGGAGGAGGAAGAGCAAGAGCTTCCGCTGAAGTACAGTAAGGTGAGGATGAAGTCAAGCTTCGCTGGCCACTTGCTTCACCCAGCGCCCGTGAACCCTGTGAGAAGCTGCCGTTTGTCTCCTGAACACGGACCGTTTCACACCCCGGGGCTCCTCTGTGCTCAGAGCCCGGGATGCACGGGCACAAGGGGATGAAAGAGGGGCTGGAGGTGTGCGTGTGCGTGTGCGTGTGGGCCTTACGTGTGCAGGGCCCAGGGCGCCTGCGGAGGCTGCGGTAACAACTCTGCGTCGCAGGCTCTCGCGGGCGCCCCTGCTTAGGTAAGCAGTCGTCCTGATCCTGCACCTCTAACACACGCAGGATTGTTCCTCAGAGGTTACGGAACTGCTGTCTGGAAGCAGCTTGTGGATTCGGGCGTTCGTGGCAGAGGGAGGACCACCCACGTCCTGACCCATTCACCCACCGACTCATCCCCAAGCGATTCCTTCACCAGAAATAGTGACAGACAGCCGTCCAGGTTCCGGTCGGGTTCTGTGGTACCAGGATGAGTAACAAGCGCTCCTTCCTCTAACGGCTCCCAACCTGGCAACACAGGCAGACACGCCCGTAACAAAGCACGGCCCCCGTGGGAGGAAGCATGCTCCTGACACGCGTCCCCAGAGGACACGCGCCGCACAGCCCGCGTGAGACATGGTGCCACTTACAGGTCAGGTGTTCGGTCCTGTGTGCTTTTCTACACTTCCGTGCCTCTTAACCTTTAAACGAGAAACCCAACTCTGGCTTCCCCTGTCCTCGACCTCAGGCAGCTAGAACTCCAAGCCGCACTCGGACAGGCTGGAGACATTTCTCCTCCCCATGCTGGCCCCACGGGTGCTGCGCCCTGGCTGCCCCCTGCCGACTGCCGACCGCGGCCACCAGCGCCGCTCTGGCACCCAGAGGGCGACTCCTGTCACAGCAGCGCGTGGCTCCTCGCTAGGCCTCATGACGGCCATGCGTCCCGGCTGGCATTCCGCTTCCGGTCCTGAGTAAGTGAGGGCCACGCTTCCTGGGGTTGCTTTGGAAGATGTGAATGGTGCCGCCCAGTTTGATGTGATCGATCCTGAACCAAGCTCGCAGGCCAGCTCTCAGCTGTGCGTTTCCGCCTCTGCAGGACACTCAGCAGGGGCAGGCATCATTTTTGGACTTCAAGCGCCATTTGCATCTTAATCCAGAAACGGGAGCGTCTGACTATATGCCGATCCATCAGTCTATCATCTAACTGCCAGCTGCTCTTCTTTTCTTTTCTCTTACATTCTTGGCGATTCTCTCACAAAAAGGACATTCTTCAGCCCGAGTCCCCCGCCAGCATCGGGTCAGCCGGCTCCTCCCGCAGACACCAGACAAGCAGGGGTTTGCAGATGTTCTTTCCTCTGGGTCCAAAGCAGCCTGAGAGGGAGGTGGGCCCACACGATCCCCACCGTCACACTGTCCACCCCAGCGAGTACACGGAAGCTTAGGATGCTGTGGAGCTTCTCAGAGCGAAGGGAAAATGTTTCGCTTGCACTCTGTTTTTATTCCGGAACTCCTAAAACACTTTAGATTGCACAGGGAGAAGGGGAACGAAAGACAGTAACTGAGTTATTTGTTTAGCACATACATGAATAAAACTTTACGACACACTGGGTCACTTCGTTGCATTTATCTTACTATCCAAAATACCTATGTGCACGATCAACGCCAGGGAGTCAGAATGCTCTGATAGGAGGCAGGTGACTTGGTTTCCACCGAGGGCAAACGGTGGTTTGTAAAGCGAAGCTCTTCCCAAATGTCATTCGGTGACGGGACTCTTCTTGTGCTCTCCGAACTCCTAGAGAAACTCTTACAGGAACTCACAGGAACTCCCAGTCACAGGAAATGCTGAAGAACCAACGAAGTACAGAACATCTTTGGGTTTTTACTCAGTGAACAACTCATGAGCATGAAATGTGCCTCTGGTACATTACTGAACCCTCAAAAGTTAGAGCATGCAAACAAATTCTGGTCCTCCTGTAGTCTCTTATGGAAAACACATCCCCATACTATTGGAAATAGAAAACGGAGTCCCTGGCCCATAAAAAATTTCCTCAGCACACAGCACCCAAGGTGCAGGTTCTGGCCTAACGGAGGCTCAGGGGATCTAAAGGTGGCCAAGGTGGCACAGGGAGGGCTTGGTGTTGGGAGCGACAAGGACCCCGGAGGGCGCCGACATTGGAAAGGAAGGGCCGCTCCAGGCAGAAGAAACTGCACGCAAAGGAAAGCACAGGCTTGAGTCTGCACCCATACAAAAGGGGCCCGCTTCCAGTTTCAAGAGAGGTTTGGGGAGAAGCAAAATCCAGACCAAGTTGGATCCAGATCACACAGGACCCTAACTCCAGACCTCGGAAGGGACAGGAGCGAGGCGGCAAGCAGGAAGAGCGGCTCACAGCAGAAGTGGGGTGCCGGGGAGGGAGGGGCCACACACAAACATTACTCCCGAGTTACGGGGTATACTTTTTCATGAGATTCATTTCTATAAACTTCCAGTTTTTAATTTAAAAAGTGGATTTTGCATTCTCCTCTTTTGCGGTTGGACTCCGCCCGCGCCACCCGCTGGCTGCTCCCTGAATTACAGGCACTGGACCAAAAGCCTCCTCACCCGACCAAGGGTTTTACCTGGAAGCAACCGCGCACGTCACAGCGCGGGTGTCTTGGATTTTTCTCAGAAGAGACAGAAAACATCTTCTCTGGCTGGGGCTAAAAATGTAGCTTGCTCCAGCTAACAAATGAAATGCTGCCGTTCCAGATGAAAGCGCAGAAATGGTGGGACTGGAGCAGGGCCCTAAGGGCAGGACGGCCCGGGGAGCTGGGCGGCCTGCGGGAGCTTGGGCTCCGACCCAGGGCTGCGTCCGACAGGGGAAGGAAGCCCCGGTGCCGCAGCCCAGGGGCTCAGAGTGAGGTCAGAGGGAAACACGGAGAGCAGAGGACCTTCGCTAATGGGCAGGGGACCAGGAGACGGGAGGGAGGGAAAGGGGACAGCGAAAAGCACCGGGCTGCAGCGCCAGCCCCACGGTGAGCGCGACCTTTACGCACTAAGCAAAGAGACAGGCAGGGAGGAGCGGGCTCTTGGGCTGTAGGGTGCAGTAGACTGACTGAGGCTCGCCGAACTTATTACATATTTTATAAAGGACGAAAAGAGAGGAGTTCGCAGGCCCCCAACATGAAGAAACCGTCAACAGTGAAAGAGGCGGAAAGCTCGTTGCCAGGTCTCCACCCCCACACGTTCTGTACGGGTGTGGAATTCTCGGCTGTGCGCAC